GGAATTATGGATCTGAGCAACACTGGGTAAATATTCTAGTAACCAGCCAATTAACCTGCTGTAAGATGGGATTTTCAGATCTCTCCTCCATGTTCGTCTTCTCTCCTGAGCCTCCGATCTCTCGCGCCATCTCTCTCTCTCTCTTCCCTCCTCCTACTGTCTTTCCCCTCCCTCTCTCAGCTCTCCTCTGCCTCCTGCCTCTCTCTCTGTCTCTCTCTTTCTCTTTTCCTCCCCCTCCTGCCTCTCACCCTTGGACCCGTGGAGCCCAAACGGCCACACTCCCCATGCAGCATAGGCCGCCCAGAGGGAACAGCCAGCATTTCAGAATTACAGACTCAGATATTGGGCTAGTATATATATGAGAATATTCATATTCATATTCATATTACCACCAACTTAAATGGCCTGATTTTAGGCATGGTACGTACACAACTTCTGAAAATCTGGCCTCTTTTGAAAATCTTGGCCTGCACCTGTAGGCTATGTCCACACTCATGGCTTCTTGAGACAGAAATATGCAAATGAGGCTAAGCGTGGAATATCGCAGAGCCTCATTTGCATACCTGTTATTTTCAGGAACAACGGCATTGCGCAAGAGGGTTTTTCTTATGCAAGAAGGAGCAGTGTAGACAGCTCCTTCTGGTGCAAGAGCCTCTTCTGCAAAAATGGCGGCTCATTAGGTATGCAAATGAGGCTCCGCGATATTTGCGTATTTCTGGTGCAAGAAGCCGCGAGTGTAGATATAGCCTTAGTGTCCTCATTTTTCACCAAACGGGAAATGGAGAAACCTGTAATAGTATATGTTGATTGAAACTATAAGCCAGTTGAAATCAATGACATCCTTGTTGACCTGTGTGTATGAACCTCACACACCCAGATGCAAGAAGAATGTCAATTTAAAGCCACATGTGTAAGGAAATTACAGTGAAACCTCCGATCTCTTCAGATTCAACAGACGCCTATGATACAAGGAAATGTGGTCAGAGATGGGACTCATGGGATCTGAGGGCATTGCCTGCCTCAGGCATAGACTTCTATATGACACCGGACAAATCACTGATATATCTTTGCTCCCCATCTCTAAAGTGGAGATAATATTTCCCTGTCTCACAAAGGTGTTCTGGGGATACATTCAATAATGTGTATAAGCTGCTCTGATACTATAGGGTATGTCTACACTACCCTCCTAGTTCGAACTAGCGGGGTAATGTAGGCATACCGCACTTGCAAATGAAGCCCAGGATTTGAATTTCCCGGGCTTCATTTGCATAAGCAGGGAGCCGCCATTTTTAAATCCCCGCTGGTTTGAACCCCGTGCAGCGCGGCTACACGGGGCTCGAACTAGGTAGTTCGAACTAGGCTTCCTATTCCAAACTACCGGTACACCCCTGTGTGGCAGCCAGCTGGGGCCACATGCCCAGGGGAGGCATGGCACATGCTCACACATGCACAGGTTGCGTGATCCGTGGATGGCAAGGCCCACGCATGCAGTCCCTGGTTTCTGTCCCTCTGCCTCCTCCACATAAGGGGACAGTGATGGCACTCACCTGTTGTTGCCTCCCTGGCCGCAGATGACACTGGTGACAGGTCCGCTGGGGTGGCTCGAGGCTCCTGGATGCTCAGCACACTCTGTCTGGTCTGCTGAGGCTCCTGGCTTTCCTCCTCCTCCTCCTCAATACCCTGGTCAGGGTCCTCTGCCCCAGTGTTGATGACCACCTGGAGGGCACGGACCATCCCACTCCCCAGGATGCAGTTCAGGGCATTGAAATAGGGGCAGCTTGATGTGTTTGCCCCTGGTTGGGAGCTGCCCTCTGTGGCCCTGGCATATGCCTGCCGAAGCTTTTATTTTCATCTGCACCTGCTCCTGGGTGTGGATGTGGCCTTTGCTGACCATGCTGGCAGCTATCCTGCCATAGACAGCCACGTTCTTCCATCTAGTGCAGAGATCATGGACATTGGAGGATTCCCCCCAAACCTCAATGAGGTCCATGATCTCCGCACCTGCCTTTTCTGGCCCCTGGCAGGCTCCTGGGAGCTGGCAGACTGCTCCAGGGGAGGGCTGGCTACTGGTGGCTTGCTGGCTTATATTGGGGCTACTGGGTCAGGGGTAGGACAGACTGTTTGTTGGGCTCACAGGCTTGGGTCTACCCCTTTAAGGGCTCCGGGAAGGTGGGGAGGGAGAGGAGTTTTCTTGGTTGAGGCTGGAGTGGCCAGCAGGGCAGCCTGGGAAGGGCTAGAGGCCCTCTATTTCAAAATAAGCGTCTACACAGCGCTTATTTAGAAATAGCAATTTCGAAATTGGTGTTATTCCTCATGGAATGAGGTTTACCAATTTTGAAATAAGCCCTCTGCTATTTCGAATTAATTTCAAAACAAAATAGCAGTTGGCTTGTGTAGCTCTAGTGAAGTTATTTCAAAATAACGGCTGTTATTTCAAAATAACTTTACTGTGTAGACATACCCTGTCTGATTGTCTGGACTCTGAATCTACAGGGGCAGAGTGTAGATTCTGAAGCCTGAGTCCCTGCAGATGTCAGTATTATAGGCACGTGTTGACTTTTGCTTGCAAGGGCCACTCAGTGAGCTTAGTCCCAAAGGAGACATGGGGAATTCATTGCTGCTTCATAGCCTAATGGCTGCATTTCCACTAAGAAAGGCACCAGCTGGCTGAGAGCACAAGTCACAGAGAATTCTTGGCTCCATCAGGGCCTGATCCTGTGGGGTCTTGTCACTCCTCCTTTCCATTGCTGCCAATGGGGAAAACTGGTGCTTAGTGCTTCGATTGTAACTCACACACCAGCTGGGCGTGATGCACTGTTCTATCTCCTGGCACTGAGCACTTACATCTACATGGCAAGATATCTTCTGGAATAGCTTATTTCAAAATAGAGCATCTACACTACAGGGAAGCCTCAAAATTAGTCCAAGGCAGGCTCCTCGAATGTGGATGCACTATCTCAATTTAGAACCCCAGGAGGCACTGGGAGAAATAACTTTAGAATGGCCCTGGTGAGGAGCTATTTTGACAAAGCAACAGTGAAGCATCCACACACACCCTCTTTCGAAAGAGCATTTTTGGAAGAGGTGTTATTCCTTGTGGAATGAGGTTTACCAACCTCGGAAAAAGCCCTCCATTATTTTGATTTTCTTTCTAAATAACGCAATTGCTATGTGGACGCTAGGTTTGTTTTTCCGGAATAATGGCCAAGTGTAGATGCAGAGTGTCTACCCTACAGCCTTAGCAAATAGGCAGCTGGCTTTTAGCCCATGCAGTAGAGATCCCAGGTTCAATTTCGCCTGCAGACAACCAGGGTCTGTGGGTATTACAAGAGCACTAGACTTTTATGTGTAGCAAGCTTGAATCTTTGGCCAGGTTCTTTGAAGATTAGCTCCATCCTGCATAAGTTCCAATACAAAATGTACGTAGCTGTGTTTGAACATTCTACTCCGTAAGGGTATGTCTACACTAGCTTGTTAGTTGGAGCTAGGTAGGGTAATTAGGGCAAGCGGAGTTGAAAATGAAGCCCAGGATTTAAATATCCCGGGCTTCATTTGCATGTTCCCGGGCACCACCATTTTAAAATCCCCCTTAGTCCGAACTCCATGCCCGCAGCTACATGCGGCACGGAGTAGGTAGTTCGAATTAAAGATCCTAACTCGAACTACCATTACTCCTTGTGGAAGAAGCACATAATATCTAGATGTCACGGTAATGGGCGTAGTATGAAATAGAAGAGCAGAGAAGTTTGGCCCGGCACATTGATTGGACTCATGCTTTTATAATAGATATAGTATCTCAGGTTGCTCTAACCATACCTGTCATCGGTCACATCATCCACTGCTATAAAAGACCTGGACATAAATTTTGTTATGTATTTCATTAAAAGGCACGTGAGATGCTTTGGGAGAAAGGAAATTATATACATAAAATACAGATATATTATTAGAATAGACTTTGATTAACTCGACAGTGTGTGAGTAATTAGCTATGCCTGAAAATAGAATCCATTTCCTGTATTTGTGGAAATAATCATCATATCATCCCAGGGATAAGCTTTATGGGGAAACATAAAGGACTCATCTCTGTGCTCCACTGGACTCCTTAGAAGCAGTGAGTTGATTTAGGGCCAGCTGGCAACTCCTTTACTCACAGCAAAATAATCCATTACTCCACAAGTAGCACCAGGACTTCACAGGACTGCATGTGACATAAGGTTGTAATCAAGTGAGTCCCTTACTCACAATCTTGATTAGAAAGTTGTTGGGGGACATGTCTTTTTAAAGGAAATGTATGTACTGCACCTAAGGCAACAGGCCCCTTATCTTTTAATGGGTTTCCGGAATAGTATTAGGATTAGTAATAATAATATTGATAATGTTATTATTAATAATTAATCAGTTAATAAATGCTGCAAGGAATATAAGTCCCAGCTAAAAGTGCCTGCCAACACTATTCCCTATTGTTTTCAAAATAAATCGAATGTAAAGAACTGCTGTTGATGAGGGAATGTTATGGGGTAATAAATAATATTTAACTGGGGAGTGGGCCTGCACCATTCAGATCTGTATTAGGGCTTAGGCGCCAAAGATTTCCTTAAACCAAATTTCCTCCCTGCCTGGAGCCCTGACCTCTGAGAATCACCCCCCTTTGACATCCTCCAAGTCTTCCTTTCCTGCCGCCTGTTTGCTGGAGTACAGGGATTCTCTCCTCCCCCGTCTTTAGGCAGGAGGTGGGCAGGTCCAAGTGGATTTCATATGCAAACATCCCGTACTACCTCCCTCTCTTTTGCCAAGGGCTTTCACTGGCTTCCATGGACCATCAGCAGCGACCAATCTGGGCCAAGAAACGGCAGTAGCCCTGCTGGGAGAACCAAGCAGCACATTAAGCAGGCAAAGCAGCCCCTGGCCTCTAGAAAACGGGGAGAGGGGGGGATCTAAGGCGGCCGTGGGTTTCAAAACAGAGCTGGCAGCCGCACCTTGAGCCCCGGCGAGGAGAGAGACACACGCCCCGCAGGGCGAGCTGGACACGGCGAGTGGAAGGGAGCAAACAGACCGCCCGCCCCTCCGAGAAAGCGGTGGGAGGGCAGCTGGAGGGAATGACGCTGGAGCAGCCGGAGACGCGGAGCAGGAAAGTTGCTGCGAAGGGAGACTTTGCAGTCTAGGCACTTGCTCCGCGATGGGCTTTCTGGTGTCTCGGGAAAACCTCCTGCTCTTCCTCTGCGCGAACTTCCGAGTGGAAGGGAGCAAACAGACCGCCCGCCCCTCCGAGAAAGCGGTGGGAGGGCAGCTGGAGGGAATGACGCTGGAGCAGCCGGAGACGCGGAGCAGGAAAGTTGCTGCGAAGGGAGACTTTGCAGTCTAGGCACTTGCTCCGCGATGGGCTTTCTGGTGTCTCGGGAAAACCTCCTGCTCTTCCTCTGCGCGAACTTCCTCCCGGGTAAGTTTCAGAGCCGCTTTCCCGGGGTCCATTCCACCATCCCCCATCCCATCCTAGCTCCGGCTGGAGATTGCCCCATGGCAGCAAGGACCCCCCCCCATCCCTCCTTGCTCCTTTCCATCAG